GGCTCCACCCTTTTGACCTCATTTAATCTGAATTACTTCCCCAAAGACCCTGTCTCCAAATACAGTCACATTGGGGGACAGGGTTTCAACATATGGATGTGGGGAGGACACCATTCAATCCATAGCAGGAGAGCGGAGGCGGCATGACGAGGGAAGATGGCAGCCCAGTGGGGGTGGGGGTAGGGGGCATCACGGCATCACACTGGGCCTAGAACACACACACGCGCACACACACACACACACACACACACTGCCAAGGGTCTCCACCTGGTACCTAGAGCCCTGTATCCAGACTGCCTCTACCCCTGCTGGAGGTTGATGGGACAAGCCCCTGCTCTCTCTAGGCTCAGTTTCCCTGTGTCTACAATGCAGGAGGGGAGGTTATTCCCCAAGACTCACAGGATACACCATCAGCCTCTCACACAAGGGGCCAACACCCCTGGGGCTCAAAGAAGAGTCGAACATTTTTCAAACAGGACCATCCAAGGCAGAAAGAAGGAAGGACAGATAATACTAAGGTTAGAGACTTGAGACCCTCCCTTAAGAGCGAAGGTGCCTGTCTCAGCCAGCCCAGAGCAGCGCTGGAAGAAGATACCTCTCCCAGACTTTGTGACTTAAGAGAAGACAGAGGGGGCTGCATTCCCCCCACCCACCCCCCCCCAAGTTCAGCTCATTTTGAAATAAGAACTCGGGTAACTTTAGTTTAACTTCGAGAGCCACCATCTTCTCCAAAAAGGTCGGGCCTTCAAAGCAAAGGCTGGCTCCCATTTCTTTGCATGTTTAATTAGGGGAAGATGGTTTCCAGGATGTGACTCTGTGGGTCTCAGATTGTCACTCATCCCGCAGAGACTGTCTGGAGCCCACGGCTATAGGCCCAGGTCATGGAAGGGCTCCTGGCAATGGGAGAGATGGGGTGGGAAGGCTGAGGTTGGGGGAAGCACGGGGGTGGAAGGAGCTCAGAACAGGGGTATTTCATGGAGCCTGGGGGTGGGGCATGGGAGAGGACCGCGAGCCTTCCTGGAGGAGCTGACATCTGAGCTTGGAACTGGAGGAGATCTACAGGGCATGGGGGGAGGGCAGCATTCTGAGCGGGAGCGAATGCATTTGACCCTGCTCCAGGTTTGGGGAAGAAGCCTGGAGGGACTGGCAGAAAATACTCTCATGGCGTTGATCATCACCCACCTTTATGAGTGCCCCCTCCCCTTCCGGCTTCCCCCTTTGATTTACTTTTTGTTGAGACAATAGAGTTTTACCGTTCAGTTTCACAAGCCTTCAGGGCACACGTAAAATGAGGTTATAAGAGTTTTTAGTAGAATTGAAGGGAGAGCAAAAATTATCTATCTCATTTTATAAAGCTATTATATCCTTGATACTTAAACCTCGCAGGGATGGCACCATAAAATAAAGTGTAAGACAAGTTTAAATATGGCCATGGAATTTTTTAAGTCTTATATTAAATGCTAGCAATGTGTCAAAATATCTTAGGATCAAGTATTACCACAAAGATAGTCCTTCAGACAATCCATTAATGTAACATATCTGTTATGGCCTGAATTGTGTCCCCCTCAAAATTCATATGCAGAAGCTAACCCCCAACCTTACCGCATTGGAGACGGGGCCTTTAAGGAGGTCATCAGGGTTAAATGAGGTCATAAAGTGGGGTGCTATCCAATAGGACGGGTGTCCTTAGAAAATGTGAAGACACCAGGGAGGGACACACACGAAGAAAAGGCCGCTTGAGGACACAGGGAGACGGCGGCCGTCTGCAAGCAAAGGGGCGAGGCCTCGGGAGAAACCAGCCCTGCCGACGCCTTGAGCTTGGACTTCCAGCCTCCAGAACTGCAAGAAAATAAATTTCTGTTGCTTAAGCCGTCCAGGCTCTGGTATTTTATTACGGCAGTCCAAGCAGACTGTTACAATACTTCACTCCTGTTCTGTTTTATTATTACTTTTTATTATCCCCCACACTTGATACATATCAAACTGCTTAAAATTATTACTTCCAGGGCACGAGGAGGAGGGTGATAAAAAGAATACAGCCTGGCGCATGGTGAGCTCCGAATCAGTGTTAACTAATATCGTCGGACTGAGCGAAAGAAGCAAGACGCAGAATGAGTTTAGGTCAACTGAAAGCACAGGTGCGCATGTTCTGAAGCACAGGTGCGCATGTTCTGGTAACACCTGTGCCGTGTGTCTTTTAAATTTATCTAAATGGCACGTGCAAAGACATCTTCAAAGCTGACTGTGTTCAAAGTTATTTTTAATTTATTTCATTTAATTCTTACAATTGTTTAAGATTTATCTATGTTGGGATATCTCGTTTGTGGATTCCGACTAATGCATGATATTTTAGCATGTGCCTACATCACATTTACTTTTCCATTCCCCCAGTGGTGTACCCGGGACCTCCTTCGTCCTACTACAGAAAGCAAGGCCTCAATGAAGATGTTTGCATGTGTTCCCTTCTGGACCTGTGTCGAGGACCCGGCACGCTCACCATGAGACTGCTGGATCCTTCACTGTGGATAATTTCTCTTGACTGAATTCCACCTGATGGCTCTCCAAATCGCTGCCACCAGGGGCGTGCAACATCCCTGGTTCCCCACAACCCTGTGAACACTTGGCGTCATCCAACTTTCTAGTGAGTATAAAGCAACAGTTGACTGCTGTGTTAACTATGTCTCTCCAATTATTATTGAGTTTGAGCAGCCCTACATTTATTTATGAGCTATTTCGGTTTCCCTTTCTGTGAATTGCTTGTTTATACACTTTGCCCAGTGCTCTATTGGGTTTCATTTCTTTTTATTAACAATTTATGGGACTTCTTGTCTATTCTAGGTTTCAGTCACACGTGGGTTTCAGATGAGGCATCTGTGGATGACATTTGTCTATAGCAGGCTTTCTCAGTCTAGGTGCTATTGACATTTTGGCCAGATAATTCTTCGTTCTGGGGCTGTCCTATGCGTTGGGGGATGCTTAGCCTCTACCCACTTAGAAGCCAGTAGCATCTCCCATGCAGTTGTGACAACAAAAATGTCTCCGGATACTGCCAAATGTCCTGTAATGGGGGCAAAATCGCCCCCACTTGAGAAGCACTGGTCTATAGGCTATTCCCCACCTTGGATGTTGGTTATCTAATCCCATTGATTAGAAATCCATAATTTTGGTTAAAACTTAAATTCATTAAGTTTTCATCTTGCGCTTTGTGTTGGGGGATCTTGTTTGAGAAGCCCTCCTCACTCCTAGGTTATTAAAATGTTTACTCAGCTTTATTGTTTAGGCTTCAACGTTTAAGTCTTCAATTTCTCTGGAGTCCACTTTTGCATTCTGGGTCAAGTAGGATCCAGTTGTGTTCTGATATGTGTAGTCAGCCAGTTTTCCAAAGCCATCTACTAGTTAGTGGGACCTTTCTCATTGATCTATGAGGTTGTATTCATCTTATATCAAGTTCCCATATGTGCGTGCTCTGTCAACAAGCTCTCTATCCTCTTCCTTTGGGCTGTTGACCTGCCCTTCCATCAGAACCACAGTCCATGACTGTGACTTTTTTTTTTTTTTGGTAAGGAAGATTGCCCCTGAGTTAACATCTGTGCCAATCTTCCTCCATTTTGTATGTGAGACACCACCACAGCAGGGCTTGATGAGTGGTGTGTAGGTCCGCACCCAGGATCTAAACCTGCAAATCCCCGGCCACTGAAACGGAGTGCGTGAACTTAATCACTATGCCACCAGGCTGGTCCCTACTATGACTTTTACTATATTTTAATATCTAGGAGAGCTGTCCCCCACTTTTAAAAGTTGGCTCCGCTATTTGCAGATGTTTATACTTATTAATTTCAGAAGAAGTTTGTCAAGTTTCTCAACATAATCTATCTGGAATTCTGATTGCAATTGCATCAAATTTATAAATTAATTTGAAGAGAATTGACGTGTGTGCAATGTTATATTATTCTTCCATGAATATGGAATAGCTCTCCATTTATTCCAAACTTCCTTTTATGTTCTTTAATTGAATTTAGATTTTTATTCTGTAGAGGACTTCATTCCTAGATAAACTAATTTCATCCAGGTAAAAATTACTACCTAGCAAAGGAGGAGGGGCCATGTAGGGGTTGGGGGCCAACAAGGTGTGGTTGCTTCCAGCTAAACCATCAATGACTGTGATTTTCTTTCAGTGAGGATAATTCACTCTTTACAGATGAGGAAACTAAAACAGAGGCCAGGAGACTGATGTTGAAAAATGAAGGCACACCTTAATGCAGACCCACACAGAAGGCTGTGCTTCTAGAAACTCAGCAACAGCATCCCAACCTGTCAGGGGGGCTATAGCCACAGTTGGATCCGTGTTCTCCAGGCTGGTGGGTGCTGCTCAGGGAGGCTCTGTCCCTATGCCCTGCAGCAGGGACAACCTTGATGACTGGAGCCCTGTGTGCAATCAGCAGTGGCCCAGGCTCGCACTCCCACTCATAGCCCTTTGGTTCATACTCACCAGCCCAGCTGTTCTTCTGGGGATGCCACCACATCAGGGAATAAGGACACAAAGGACCACGTGGAACTGTTTTGAGCAGTGACATCACAGAAGCAAGGGCAGCCACGAACTGATTTGGCTCTTGAGCAGAACTCATCCCTTATGACTAGGAAAGTCCTAGCCATTTGGTGGGGTTAGCATGGAGAGGGGGAACTTCCTGCTAATCCGGGCAGGGAGAGCTCCTGCAATTAATTTGAAAGATATTATAAACAACCCAAGTATCCATCAACAAGAGAATGAACAAATAAATTATGGTACATCCACACTGCAAAATACTATACAGCAGTGAAAAATGGGTGAACACCCGTATTCACGTGTAGAGTATCACGTTGGGTGAAAAAAAGCAAATTTCAGAAAATCACATGCAGTATGACATAATTTAACATAGTTTAAGAGCATGCAACACCATGCTATCCATTGTTCAGCGATACATACACCCTTCTGCAGCAGAAATATAAGAGAAATGGTTGGGAATGATACACACCTAATTCGAGGAATTGGTTCCTGGTGGTGTGAAGAGGTGATAGGGAGGAGGCGATAGGGAAGTGAGGATACCCAGGGGTTTCCACAGTGTCAGGAATGTTTTGTTTCTTAGGATAGGTTGGGTTCACCCATCTCACATGATGCTTTAGGGCTTTTTGGTTTTAAAATATATTTCCTAATAATTTCTTGTGACCATGTTTATACCCAAAGCCGTTACCGCAAAGCATAGCTATGATATTTGTCGGTGAATCTCTCTCCCTTGCTGAGGTGCAAGGACACACCCTCTTGAGGGCAGAAGCACCCAGCTCAGCTGCTCCCAAACTTCTGGCCCACTAGGTTTGGGGGTAATTTTGTGACACACAAACAGAAAACGATTACGAGGAATCACTGAGTGTTCTTGTGCAAAGCAAGGACACTACCAAAGTGGTATTTTACCGGGCTGTCTTGCGGCCTTCAAAGACCAAATAGCTAAATTTGTTTTTTGATCTGCAAAGCCCCAGGTGGTTAGCACAAACGAGCCCGAGCCCGGAAGAGCCTGCAGCCCCAGACTTCGTGGGCGGGGCAGGCAGCTGTCAGTAATTTCACTGCAGCCCCAGGAGACCACTCTGGGTCAACTCTGCACTTTTTTCAATCAAATCTCCTTGCCTCAGAGGGAGACCCCCTGAGGACAGAAAGTAGACCTGGGGCTTCTCTGCCAACCTCGAGGGCTCAGCTAAGCATGGGAAAGGGGCAGCTGATGTGTGATGCTTCAGAGTTGAGGAAAACGTCCCCATCCTGGCCGGGAGATGCTGTGCAGCCGTAAGGACAGAGTGGACACGAATGGAACAAGACCCCTAAACTTGCAGCTCTCTTTGCAGCCTGGTAAGAACAATTTCAGGTTTGATGTCCTGTTTACCATCCCAGACCCGCGCTTCCGGTTAGCACAGAGGTGAGGGTTGGCATAGTAATGGGTTAAAGGGACACTCAAAAGAGAAATAACCGAAAAGGGGAAAAATACACAGCATTTGGCAAAGCAACGGAAGCCATCTTTTTCCCTGGGCTGCAGTTTCCAAAGCTGATTTAAAAAGAAAGCTCTGCGTCAGGTGGAAAATGGGCTTTTCCCTCAAACGACCTCTGGAAATTGTCCAAGAATGGCACACTCGGTAACAGGGAGAGAGGGATGAGGTTGGCGATGGAAAAAAGATACCGTCCCCTGGGTGGAAAATGTGTGTCTTCATTAGATGTGCTGTTAGGAGCTCAGCTCTTGACTGTGGCAAGGGAGACTTTGTGCTGGATTAGGAGTAATCGCCTCAAAGCTAAAGTTCGCTTCCCTATTTTTGCGGGGTGGAGTAGAGGCGAGTAATCAATTCTATTTGGGCACAGGTCACACTATGATAAGAAAAAATGCCCTCCCCCAACAACAATAAAAAAGCATTGAGAGAGTTGTCTTGTTTGTTTGGGGTGTTTCTATAAGATAAAACATTTTAACAAAGATCAAAATTTAAAAGACAAAGGAAGACAGAATTTTACCCCAAAGCCAGAGGCCTCAGCTCCATCCCTTAGAAGCTCTCTAAGGATGGCCTTCATGCGCAGATGCAAAAGCTGAGGCTCAGGCAAGGGAAGGCACGGAGCCAAGCTCATGCAAAGATGGTTGGCAGAGCTAGAACAGAACCCCCGTCCTGGAAGGGGGCAGCACCCGTGAAATATCTGAGTCTTCCCAATTCACATGGAGAATGAGCGTGAGCGTGGAGAGCCGTGCATCTGTTAGCGAGTACAGCCATTAATCTGCTTGGGGACAGCCTACGAGGCCACACAAGTTGCTGCTAAGGGAATGAGGACTGGAAGATGGGAGCCAGCAGACCCAACAGAGCATGTACACAGGAGCAGCATCTGCATCCCAGGAATTGAGTTTTCTCAAGCCTGGGCCCAGCACGGACTTCCCCAGAAGCTGAGCCTGGGGACAAATCAGATTAGAAATAGGGCAGTGAGTGCTTCTTGAAAAAGCAGCGGTCCTGGACCGAATGACAAGGCAGCAGCGGGTGGAATGGCTCAAAACCAGGGAGCGGCATGTAAATCCAAGCTCTGCCCCTTCCAGCTGGGGGACCTCGGGCACGTCAGGGCATCTCCCAGCCTCCATCTCCTCCGCTTTCAAATGGAGACCACAAAAAACAAGTCAAATCAAACAAAAGTCAACAAAAATACCATAAAACGCAGATCATAAATACGCATCGTGCAGTGAGCTTAAGGTATACAAGAGGGGCTTAATAAATGTTATGAACTCTTGAATCCTGAGCTAAAAAAGAAGAAGGGAGAAGACACCCATGCAGGTACACACACATCCCCTGCCCAAACGGAGGAGACTGAGGCTGTTTGTAGACCGTCCCTTTAGCTGCCTTAATACAGACCCATCTCCTGATGACAGAGATTTGGGACACACCTTCAGTCTTGACCACCGAACCCGCCTTAAGGTCACCCACCAGACTCACCCTCTCCCACGGGCCAATCTCTCCAATGGGCCAGTAAAAGCCCACTGGGTCTTGAAACCATGCTACCCCATTCCTTCCCTTCCCCCTCATTTAAATCTTGCCCAGCAATGCCAAGGCCAGCAGAGAAGACAGCGCAAGAGCGTGGGTCCTGGAGTCAAGGAGAGATGGGTTCTAATCCTGCCTCTGCTTCTAACTGGCTGCATTAACCTGGCGCCCCCCTCTCTAAGTCTTTATTTCCTCATCTGTAAAACCACAATGATAATAAATACCTATTTTGCAGGGTTGTTGTGAAGGTTAAAAGAGGAGAAGTAATTAAAACCCAGCCAGCCAGTGTTTGTGGGGGTTGCTGCTATTAATATCATAGACCCCGAAATCAGGGTCGGCTGCCTTCCCCAGAGGAGGTGGCTAGATGCGGTGAGTCTTAGAAAGTCTGCCTCCACAGAGTCACAGCTGTGTGCCCCTAAGCAATTCACTTAACTTCGCTGAGCCTCCATTTCATCATATGGACGATAGATAGAGTGCTTTCCAGAACTCAGAAGCCTTCTGTAAAATCCAGCTGAGAAGATGGAAATAAAAGTGGTTAGAGAACTCGATAGCATGACTCCATAAAGGGATAATTATTATTCAGGTGTGACTGGACAACTGTAATTCTAAAACGCTTTCATCCCATAATTACTCAGAACGCGGGCAGAAAAGATGAACATTAGCAGTGGGAGAGGGAAGACAAAATCAAAGGCTTTCGAAACCTCTAATGGCACAAAACTCGCTCGAAATTTCATCTTAACTGTTTTTCGTTGCTATTCTTATTTTATTTTGGGTTGAGGGTGTTTTTTTTTGTCATTTCCTGAGAACATTTGTCTTTTTCCTTTTCTCTAATGTTACTAAGCAATACAAATACTCCAGTTAAGAGGTGTCACAGGAACAATCACGCCTGTGATTTGTCAGGAGCCAAAATCAAATGACATGAGACAGCAAAGATGAGGTTGCTCTATAGCAATACTGGTCGTCCCCACGAATGGGATGAGCAATGCTCAGAGCCACTTAGGAGCACCAATTCCAGAAGTTTATTGTCTTTCTAGGTCTTGAAAAGTCCTTTTCTGTTTGTAAGTGATTTTTCATATAACACCTCCTTTTGCCCTCTCAACAACCCAAGAAGGTCTATAGATTAGGATTCATCAGCGCCATTTTACTGTTGGGAAAACTGAGTCTCAGAGAAGTGAAGTGACCTGCCCAAGGTCACCTTGCGAATGAACAGAAGTGAAGACTCGGTGTCTTTCAAGCCCTGTGCTCGAGGGCTGTGTTCCCAGGCCTCAGAGCAAGAGGGCCGAGGGTGCCCGTCCCCCGACAAAGTCCCCTACCCAAGGTGGAATTCAAGCCCTCCGTACTCTCATGGGGGAGCAAATGTGACTCAGTTGCTCCAGCCTGACTCCCCCCCCCCCGACCTCCCCCCGCCCCCACCCACATCCGAGCCCCCGCCCGGTGCCAGGGATGCCCAGCTGACCGCAAGCAGAGCTGTCGACACCTGTTCCAGGCAGGTCTGACTGTAGCTGGAAAGCCAGAACGTTCTGCCCCACAGTTTCCAGATTCTGACGTACACACCGGCTGCTCACCTGCTCACAGACCGCGTCAGCAGGTTTCCCGTAAAGTCATCAGCTCATAGCTTCCAGCCCCAGCTCCTGATTAGTCATGCCCCCTCCCCTATCCCTTTTGATGCGGGAATGGAGGGACCCCAGAAACGAGGGAAACCACAGTCATTATTTGAGCCCCACAAGGCCCTCAACATTTAGGCAGCAGCATCCCAGACATCCAGAGCCTGAGAAGTGGAAAACCCTTCAGAGATGGGCATCTAAGCCGGGGATGGGCAAACTTCTTCTGAAAAAGGCCAAGAAGGAAACATGTTAGGTTTGGGCCGGCCCAGCTAGTCTCTGTCACATAGTCTTTGCTTTATTTTTTTAAAGCCCTTTAAAATTGTAAAAACTATTCTTAGCGCAGGGGCCATGCACAAACAGGTCCGTGGCAGGCTTTGGCCTGAACGCCATGGTCCGCAGATGTCTGATTCCTCTAGCCATCTCTTTGCAGGGAGGGAAAAGACGAGGTCCAAAGAGTGTAAGGGCATTTGCACAAGGTCACTCAGCGATAGCGGATGTTGCTCACACTCAGATCTTACTCCTGAGCCACTCTGCCTCCAGAATTAAGAATGCTTTATTTTATTCTGTTTCTTCCAAAATCCATCAACCCCTGGTTCTTAACCAAAATGCTTGATTCATTGCCTTTTCAATGTTCAATGACGCAAACGCTGAATGTGAATGCAATGGGGGAAAAAATGTTATTTAAAATCAAAACTGGCTGTGGTTGTTTCTGCCTTCCAAGGACAGGTGAAGTGATTCCTATCCGAGGGAAGAGAAATGTGTGTGGTGCCCTTTTGTCTGGAAGCTGGTAGGGAGAGAGAAAGGAACAGATGGACATTTCAAAGCCTTTCCCCGGTTCTCTTGAACGCATGCAAAGGTGGGGCATGTTAAAGAAGATTGCCATCACTTTAAGGGCCTTTGACTGTGCAAGGGGGCCCCCCTAGGCCACGTGGCCTGTAGTATCAGCCTAAATTGCTGTACTTGATAAAAGGAGCGGACTCGGGGCAGGGGGCTAAGGAGTGAGTACGCAGAGGGAGTTAGAGGAGAAACAGGCTGGCAGAGCAGCATGACAGCGTGGGACAGACAGAGCAGTATGATCTGGAACGGCTGAGGTTAGCATTAAGTGATTTGCATTAATAGCTGTAAACCACCTTCACACCCCTCGAATGTCTTTAGAGTGTGCCGCACGCAAAAGCCTTGTGTGAGCATTTTTATTGCTTTCTGAACCAAGTGAAGAAGAGTTGCTGGGGAAAGTGGGGCAGACGAGGTCGGCACAGACGGAGACAACCACAGCATGGATGCACACCCGGAGCAGAGAAAGGACCTCAGAGCAGGGGTGCCCAGGAACCTCTCTGCACTGCAGAATCGCCTGCCCAACATCCTTTCCCCCATCTTCTTGCTGTTGGGACCCCAATTCTGGTTGGGGCCACAAAATGCCCAATCCTATTCGAGATCCTCATTTTCCTAGTTTCCCTTGCCCCTAGGAAGGGCCATGAGACATCCTTCTAGTTGTAAGATACGGACAGCAGTCTTGTAGGAATTCTGCAAAAGTGTTTCCTTCTTGATAAAAAGGAACAAACATGGCTAACACCGTCACGTTCTATCTTGCTTCTTCCTTTGAGCACTTACACTACACCAGACTGCAGGAGCCATCTTGCTCCCGTCTGTCCAATAGAACTTTCTGCGATGGTGGAAATGTTCTACATCTGCACTGACTCAAGACAGTGGCCAGTAGACACTTGAAATGCTGCTAGTGTGACTGAGGAATGGAATTCTTTTTAGTTTTTATTTAATTTGAATTAATCTAAGTTTACATAGCCACATGCGGCTAGTGGCTCCCTTATTGGACAGCTAGAACTAGAAGATTCTAGGATCTCTGACCCTGATCGTGAGCCACCCACCTCCAAACTCCTTGTTCTGGAAGAAAAATAGATCCCTAATTTTTAGGTCACTGTCAATTGAGTTTTCTGGTACCTGCAGCCAAATGGCTTCTAACTGATACTACCAGGGACAGGGGCTGGCAGAGCCCCAGGGCTCCCACTGTCCATGGGACAACATTCAAGGGATCAACCTCATTTTATTTGCATCTCAAAGGACAGTTAACATCAGCTAATGTCCCAGTTAGAATATCCCTAGCAGAAGGGAACCCTGGAACAGAGTCTGCCCCTCCCTCAACCAGATCCTCCCTTTGGCCAAGACACAAACGTCTAAAACAACCAAGGTTGGGAGAAGCTGGCAGCCTAGGAGCAAAGTGGAGGGTAGAGCTAGAGGTGGGGGACTGCCACGTCCGGCCTTGGGTCCTTTCCCTGCCACCCTCCCCTTGAGCAAGTCCCTTCCTCTCTCTGAAGTTCGTACCCCTTGTGTGTAAAGTAGAGGCTATTCAAACTCTCCCTGCCTAGCTCAAGGAGTGATCCTAGGGCTCGGCTCAGAATGGATGGAAGTGCATTTTGTAACAGAAAAGTGCTGCTGAGGAAATCCTGGAAAAGACCATTCCTGGGAAGACCGGAGGCCTCCAGGAGTCCCACTGCCAAGTCTGAGAAGCGGAACCACCTAACATCCTGGTCTGGTTGGCTCTTCAGGCTCAGATTTCATCTTTAAGTGACAGACAGTTCCACCAGCCTTGCTAAGGGCCAGAGAGGGGGAGAGGGGTGGCCTGGGGCTGGGGGAGCCCTATTCTCATAAACAAACACGGGGCAGGCACAAGGCACCAACCCCTGAGGGACACCTCCGTTGGTACCTGGAATGAGTATAGATCAGTACCCTCAGACAGGTGCGACCTAACCGAATCCTCGTCACTGCCCCGGGGGAGGCATTTCTATTCCTCCACTCGTGATGGGTCAAATGCTAACACAGAAGGAGGTGGAAGGTCAGCAAGGCTTCCGGGGTAGTTTTGAAGTGGGTAGCTGGGAAGAACTGGTTCCTTTCCAGGGAATGTAAAGAGAGAAACCCAGGGGACCAGTGTTGGTGCGAAACAGTTTGGACCAGAAAAACAGCTTCTAGGCTGGCAGTATAGACAAAGGGCTACATACCCCCACCTTCAACCCTTTTCCCACCAACAGTGCCAAACAGACTCGTGTTGTAGTTAGCTATATATTCTTAAAGGATAATTTCTAAAAACAGGTGTGGACAGATCTTCGGGACCCCTCTCCCTGCTCTAACAGGTGAATCCAGCAAGCAAACTGCACAGGCTTGAAGTCAGTACAATAAAAATCTGTGCTGTCCCATGCAGCAGCCATGCAGGATGTCTTCAGCCTGTGTTAGAATGACGATGCGACCCCTCAGCTCGTGACTGAAGACGCCGGCTGGACAGATGCACAACAGGAAAAGATAAAGGGTAGCTGGCTCTCATGTTTCCCAGCTGCATGTCTTAGAGATTGAGGGAACAATTAACAAACCTGGTCCTCACCTCCCTCCACACATCGAGAGCATCAGCATCTCTGAACTGGTCTGAGGTATAAACACGGAATTCTTGTTTATGTCACCTTCGATGTATCACCCAGAGCAAAGGCCAAGTGTACTCTCCCTTTTTTGACATATATGAAATCGAGTTGTAAGGTTTTTTTTTTTCTTTTCCCCCTCCCTGCGCATACACTGTTTGTGAAAGAGATGGAACAGAAGCTGTGCGTAACCTCACACCCCTGGGAGCAGCTCCATCAGAGGGCTCTGCAGAACTGTTTCCCGGGGTTCCACCTCCTCACGCTGATTGTTAAATAAACTCCTCTAATATCATCTAGACTCTTTACTTCAGTTGGCACAGATATAATCGTGACCCTCGTAGAAAGATAAAATAAACTTATATCAAGGATTTTGCTCATTAATTAGTGAGGGAACCAGTAAGGTGTCACAATGGGTCCCAAGAATCACATATACACAAACAAGAAATGCTGGAATGAACTTATAAATAGATGCACGACTGGCTTATTCCACAGAGGGTGTGGTAAGCCAATTATATTTCCACCGGAAAAACATCACGTGTGTAACCATACACAAGAACCCCCTGCATTGCCCTCAGTTAGCTACCAGTTAGGGTTCTGAAAGAACTCAAAGGCAACGAAAGGCACAGAATGCCCATAGAAACACCTAGTTTTCCACTGAAGACACCCTGTAATCTTTTTGGTCCATTTCAAAGTCATTCACCATCTTTCCTGCAACATTCAAGCATACCTCTGTCGTCTTATCTACTGGATCCACGGTTGTCCGTGGGATCACCCCTTGAAGTGGATGCCGACATCTGGGAAGTTAGCCGGCCTGTTCTGGAGCTAGGGAGAGCTGATGTAAGCAGTAAGAGGACACAGGATTCCTGAGCTCAGAACCTAACACCCAGGACTTTATTTTACAGAAGCAGAAACAGGCCCAGAGAGGAAAAGGGATTTTCCTAAAGACACAGAACAGAGTGGGACTGACGCTTTCTCCCCTACAGCACACACTTTTTAAGGCAGAGGGGCTGAAAAAGGGGGTGCTGGGGGGCTCCCTTCCCCCCCCACCAGCCTGGGAGAGGGACCCCTGGAGCCCTCCCCACTCCCCCTCCCTGAGCCACATTTGCAAAACAGAGGGAGTATTACCACTCCCTGGCTGTGCCTTGTGAGGTTCAAATGGAACGATTTAGACAAAACGCCTCATAGCGGGTGCTCCAGAGAGATCTTTTCCCTTCGTCCTCCTGGGTGGCCCTGTGACCCCAGGGCTGTGACAGGAGTCATCAGGCTTTTACTCCCCCAAGGAGTTACAAGACATAAAGACAGCAGCTTCTTGCCCAAAATGAGTCACAAGCCCTCCTTTCTGGCCCAGATTCAATTAGATGGGAATGGCCTCAGGCCACAGCCACATTTCCTGCCCCAAGTCAGCCCATCATAACATATTTTGAGGAAAACACACACACAAAAGGAAAGTACCAAAAAAAATGAAGTCTAACAGTCCCATCGCCCACCTCCCCCGACCAGGAGGGGCTCTGGGGCAGGGTCAGTGGCCGGGTGGTAGAGATGGCCACGCAGCAGTGGGAATAGGGGACGCAGAGCCCCAGAGAATAGTACCCTCGGCACAGGGAACCCACAAACAGACACTGAGTTCGTTTCCCAGCAGGGCGAAGTCGGTGTGACCTTCAAACAGCCCGCAGGGCAGGGCTCTGCACATCTTCTGGGTCCTGGTATGACTGAGCATCCGTCACATAGCCGTGTTATGAGCAACTTGGTCTCAGTTCTCGGCCACATTCTCAATTTCGGGGCATCCCTGATTTCTCTGTGCAGAGAGATTCAGAAGAGGCCCCAGGCTAGAAAGTGGTGGCGTTCTGTTTTGTTTTTTTCCAGCATGCACACTCACACCGACATACCAGGGGGACTTTCCCCTTCTCTGGAAGGAAACTTGGCCAAAGCATCCAAGTCAGACAGGAGAGGACACGGAAGCTTCAGGATCCGGTCCTCTGCCTCCACCCAGGTCCACTGGAAAACCCACCGCAGGCAGAATCCTCGCCCTTCCGGGGCTGGTCCAAACGTAGAGCCCGAATGAAGGCCCTTCACGTTTCTCTGACAACTGGAAGCTTACCCATCATTTTTGTCCAGTCATTTGAGAAAATTTGACCCTATTTTTACCAGATGAGAAAAATGAGGTTCTGATAGCTCAGATGATTTGACTGGGGACACACACAGCTGAGCCAGGACTAAAACCCACATCTTCCATCATAGATAGCAGTTGTAGCACTGGGGAAACTGAGGCCAGAGAAGGGAAAATACTTGCCTAAGGCCACACAGGAGGTAACCAGTAGGGCTGGGATTGGAACCTGTGTCCCTCTTGGGTCAAAGGTCTTTTCATTCTATGGCCTTGCGGCTCCCCTTGGAGATCTCTGAGGACAGAAATTCCATCCGTGGCACCATGGGCATTTCCTCTTAGGGCAAAGATGGGGAAGAGTTTTCCTCTCAGCTGGATGGATTGCCATGGCTGCGTGGAGCTCTTTGTTGAGAAGACGGTGGGTGCCCGTGAGCTCAGCAGGAGAGACCACACTTGAGTATTGCAGGGGGACTGGTCACACTCCACTTCCTGTCCTGGTCTGCATTCATTTCCCTCTCTTTTCTGCCATGTTGACTGGCATTACTGTGGGCAGAGCATGAAGGTGACAGGCACAGTCCAATCTACAGCTCGGCCAATTCCTTGAGAATGCAAATAAGATCAGTGGACATATAACTCATGAGCCCCGCCATCTTTAAAAGAATTCTGATCTTTTTTGAAAACACCAAAGGTCTGAGCTTGAGGGTGGACTCAGCCAGGACTTGCTTCCAGCAGCCCTGGAGGACAGTAAACAGGTGCCCTGTGGGGAACAGCTCACCTGGAGATCAATACCTCCATTCTGGGGGGGGGCGGGTGTCATTGGGATTTTCAATTTGGAGGTCATATTTGAAACCAGTACTTGTTGTCTTACATGCTATGACTCTGAGGAGGAGCGGAACAGGGGCTCTCACTGTATCTCAACTTCCTCTGCTCTGGGAGGTGAATGGCTGTCTCTTGGAGCAGCTCCCCAGTGCCTCCCGCTAAGTGAATATAACTGGATTGCTATTCCCAATTCTTCCCTGCCCGGTCATTATTATTAGGACTACATATCCTTTTGCCTTGTGAGTTGACATTACCTCTGAATAGTAGCCCGTCAACACTGGACTTGGCCATAAGACTTGTTAGAGCCAATGGGACACGGAGGGAACGGACAGAGTGCCAGTTCCACACAACAGCCTTCAGAGGCATCACACGTTTCTGCTCCCTTCTCTTGTGCCCCTGCTATTTGCCATGATAAGAGTTTCCCCCAAATAGCTTCTGTCCCCTCAGTTCAGGTTCTAGAATGAAGACATGTGGAGCAGACCCAACCGCCCTACATTCTAGAGCCATCCCTGAGGATGCAGGCTAAGCCCCACAGAACCACATGAACTGACCCACAAATCTGTAAGCAAAATGTGTTCTCATGAGCCACGGATATGGTGCGGATGTTTGTTATGCAGCATTATCAAGCAAAAAAAAAAACTAATACAGCCACAGAGACTGTTATTTAGGTTATTTCCTCCAAAACATAATCTCTGATTTAAATCAATATTTTTATACCATGAAATAACAGACCAATGGACAACTTTTTTATTTATAGGGATCGTGGCATCTAGTTTGTACATGAGTCTCTTATGAACTTGGAAAAAATGAGTCAGCTCCCAAGACTAATCACTATTCAGGGGATAATCAGGGGTTCAAACCAGGGCCAATAGCCAGAGATATGAAGAAAAGATTCACAAATAAGAGGACAAACAAAAATACTTCAAAAGTCCACGCATTGCTGAGATGTTATAGATGATGGAGAGTTTGGGGAGTTATGTTTCCTCACGACCCCTCACACATCCCTGGAGGATTTAAGAACAGAGGTTCTCAGATGTCAAGCATGGGTCACGTTTGCAAGAGGTGAGCAAGAGTTCAAGCTTCTTTTGTAACAGCAGAGCCCTGTGTTTGAACACCATCTTCCATGTAACTTCAATTTATGAAATTGATAAGGGTGGAGCTGCTCTGCTGGAAGCCCGTGCAAGGGGCCAGGGCCCTTTCTGTTCAGCCTTTAGAGAAAAGTGAGGATCTTGAGATTTATAGCTGACCTTGTAGATATCACCTAGGGTGATATCTACATGGATATCAGTTTTAGCAGTGGGGAAACTGAGGTCAGAGAAGGGCAGATGATTCTACAGACTCCAGTGAGAGAGCCTTGGGATTTTAAGGTCTCTGAAGACACTCCAAACGCTAGCCCCCAAAGCCTTCCAAGCCAATAGTCTGGAGGTAGTCATTTTCATCCTATTTAAGAACACAACATATAAAGAAGTAGTCGTGAATCTTGATACCAGAGGCATGCTCAATCCTGGCCACTGTCAGGGACCATTGCTTCTCTCTAAACAGGTGAGACTCCAGCTGCAAGGTTTTGACTCAAGAAATCAGGAGATAAATCTCAAGACCAGCTCTTGCATTAGAAGCCATCATTCTGCCTGCAGGCATCGTTGTCCCACGTGAATCAAAGTGACAGGACCAGAATCCTTGGGCCACACTCCTTGTATGAGTTATTTGGCCTCTGATGGAAGGAGATTTGAGGCATTCCCAGGAGCCCTTCCATGTCAGAGCTGTCAGTGCCCGGTGCCGACACCTTCAATCTCTTGCCCATCCTGAATTCATAATAAAGTGAAATCACAAACCATGCACCAGGACAAGGAAGGCATCTCTTCGACATCTGAGTGTAAGCCACAGAGGAAGCGGATACAAGGATGGACACAGAATGAGACAGGCCCTGGGTCTGGTTAACAAACTTCCAAAGGCTAAGCTGAGCGTGCTCAAGTGAGGAGGGAATGAAATAGCTATGGCTCCACTTTCCCCTGGGGCAACTTTATATAACATCGTTTTCTCTCTTCAGAAAGCAGATACAGAAATATAGTTTGAATTTGTGCCTCTAGAAACTGACAAGTCACCATTTAAAGAGACATGAACTGTGTAGGATGGAAGGAAATTATCTCACACAATGTGTAAAGAACCAAGATGAAGACCCAGTGTTCCTGGTGGCCCCCTGAGACTTGTAGGCAAGTCTCTTTCCTCTTCCAGGCGTCAGTATTCCCCGCAATTTAAAGGTGGGTGAAGGACCATAACGAGGATCAGAAAGACCCATTTCAGGCCTCTAGAATTCAGCCCTTCAGAAATTGGCCTGCTTTGGTGCCCTTGACCTTGACTCTGAAAACCCAACA